GCCCCTCTGGCCAGCTGGGCCGCTGACCGCTTCACCCCTCTGGCCAGCTGGGCCGCCGCCCGCTTCGCCCCTCTGGCCAGCTGGGCCGCCGCCGCTTCGCCCCTCTGGCCAGCTGGGCCGCCGCCGCTTCGCCCCTCTGGCCAGCTGGGCCGCCGCCGCTTCGCCCCTCTGGCCAGCTGGGCCGCCGCCGCTTCGCCCCTCTGGCCAGCTGGGCCGCCGCCGCCGCTTCGCCCCTCTGGCCAGCTGGGCCGCCGCCCGCTTCGCCCCTCTGGCCAGCTGGGCCGCCGACGCTTCGCCCCTCTGGCCAGCTGGGCCGCCGGCGCGCCGTCCCTCTGGCCAGCTGGGCCTCCGGCGTCCCTCTGGCCAGCTGGGCCTCCGGCGTCCCTCTGGCCAGCTGGGCCTCCGGCGTCCCTCTGGCCAGCTGGGCCTCCGCGTCCCTCTGGCCAGCTGGGCCTCCGGCGTCCCTCTGGCCAGCTGGGGCCTCCGGCGCTCCGTCCCTCTGGAATGGAATGGAGAGACTTCAGCCTGGTCACTGACTTCAGTCACTTTGACACAATTGGACAGAGAGGGATCACTTTGACGCAGCTGGCCAGCTTGAACGAGTATTGCAATATATGCAGATAAGATAGCTCTGTTTATATGTAAATGTTTTCTGCAAATATTTCAAGTTGTATAGCAGTGTGTGGCGGGGGAAGTTACAAAATTTCAGTGTTAAGTTATGTGGATTTGAGCAGATATCTCTCCATTTCTGTTGCATAGTGCAGGTCAGTGACCAGACCCCATCCTGTAGCTCTCTGTCTACCACAAATATGTCCATTTAAATATGCTGGAAGTAGATATTTGGCATTTTGCACAGTTGGCCGGAGAGGGGATCCCTTTGACACAGTTCGCCGGAGAGGGGATCCCTTTGATGCAGTTGGCCAGAGAGCGGATCCCTTTGACGCAGTTGGCCAGAAGTTCCTGTAATGCATTTGGTTGTCACTTATATGAAGATGGGAGTCCAATACAGCAAGACGATCCCCCCCCCCCCCCCCCACTTTCCATTACCTACATTGACCTCGTCTTGGAGACAAAGAATCAGCAACCAATAGGTTATAATAATTGAGGGGTCCTAGGACCAGATTGATTGATTTTATTAGATTTGGCTAGGATAATCTTCTGTTTATGGCGCTCTGAGCGCGAAGGTTTTAGGGATGAGATTAGCTGTTTTATGACCTGCGTGCCAACCATATGTAAAATGTTGGAGAACAAATCCCAGGCAGTACAGAGTCATTTCCTTTAATTCAGCTTTAATGATGATGAGGTCGCAGCGCGTGATAAATCCAAGCGTGTGGTTACTTATTACATAGAACTTTCCTAGAGGGAAACTTGTAGGAATTCTGGCGAGGTCGGAGCACAACCCATCCTTGCCTTCATTCTGAGTACATCGGTGAATGTGATTGGGAGGACACAGGGCTATACATGGAACCTTAAAGTGGTATTAACCCCAGGACCCCACATTCACTATATCCACTCTACCCAGACCCTGCATTCACTATATCCACTCTACCCGGACCCTGCATTCACTATATCTGGTCTCCCCGGACCCTGCATTCACTATATCTGGTCTCCCTGGACCCTGCATTCACTATATCTGGTCTCCGCGGACCCTGCATTCACTATATCCGCTCTCTCTGCGGACCCTGCATTCACTATATCCGCTCTCTGCGGACCCTGCATTCACTATATCGCTCTCTGCGGACCCTGCATTCACTATATCCGCTCTCTGCGGACCCTGCATTCACTATATCCGCTCTCTGCGGACCCTGCATTCACTATATCCGCTCTCTGCGGACCCTGCATTCACTATATCCGCTCTCTGCGGACCCTGCATTCACTATATCCGCTCTCTGCGGACCCTGCATTCACTATATCCGCTCTCTGCGGACCCTGCATTCACTATATCCGCTCTCTGCGACCCTGCATTCACTATATCCGCTCTCTGCGGACCCTGCATTCACTATATCCGCTCTCTGCGGACCCTGCATTCACTATATCCGCTCTCTGCGGACCCTGCAGTCACTATATCTGGTCTCCCCGGACCCTGCAGTCACTATATCTGGTCTCCCTGGACCCTGCAGTCACTATATCTGGTCTCCCCGGACCCTGCAGTCACTATATCTGGTCTCCCCGGACCCTGCATTCACTATATCCGCTCTCTGCGGACCCTGCATTCACTATATCTGGTCTCCCCGGACCCTGCAATCACTATATCCGGTCTCCCCGGACCCTGCATTCACTATATCCGCTCTCTGCGGACCCTGCATTCACTATATCTGCTCTCTCTGCGAACCCTGCATTCACTGAGGAAATGCTTCCTTCTACTTGCAGCGGACTGATCACTAGGGAAGGGAAACTATGGAAATACTTGTCCTGCTTGCAGCGGACTGATCACTGGGGGAGGGGAAACTGAGAAAATGCTTCCTCCTGCTTGCAGCAAACATGTCACTGGGAGAGGGGAGACTGAGCAAATGCTTCCTCCTCCTGCTTACAGCAAACCGATCACTGGAGGATTGGAGACTGAGGAAATGCTTCCTGCTGCTTGCAGTGGACTGATCACTGGGGGGGAGGGGAGAATGAGGAAATGCTTCCTCCTGTTTGCAGCAGACTGATCACTGGGGGGGGGGGGGGGGGGGAGGGAGACTGAGGAAATGCTTCCTCCTGTTTGCAGCAGACTGATCACTATATCCACTCTACCCAGACCATGCATTCACTATATCTGGTCTCCTCGGACCCTGCATTCACTATATCCGTTCTCCCCGGACCCTGCATTCACTATATCCGCTCTCTGCGGACCCTGCATTCACTGAGGAAATGCTTCCTTCTACTTGCAGTGGACTGATCACTAGGGAAGGGAAACTATGGAAATACTTCCTCCTGCTTGCAGCGGACTGATCACTGGGGGAGGGGAAACTGAGGAAATGCTTCTTCATGCTTGCAGCAAACATGTCACTGGGACAGGGGAGACTGAGCAAATGCTTCCTCCTTCTGCTTACAGCAAACAGATCACTGGAGGATTGGAGACTGAGGAAATGCTTCCTCCTGCTTGCAGCAGACTGATCACTGGGGGGGGGGGGACTGAGGAAATGCTTCCTCCTGTTTGCAGCAGACTGATCACTGGGTGGAGGGGAGATTGAGGAATTGCTTCTTCTTGCCTGCATCAGACAGATGACATTTTAACAACTGTACTTTTTCTTTTCTCCATCAGCTCATCCCCCACAGTTATTATTTTTTGTACCTTTTGACCCTCCCTCTTAGATTGTAAGCTCTAAGGAGCAGCAGGGTCCTCTGATAAAAGATGAGAAATTATATTACACAGGATTTATATTGTAAAGTGCTGAGCAAACTGTTGGCGCTATATAAATCCTGTATAATAATAATAATATATAAATCCTGCATAATAATATATAAATCCTGTATAATAATAATAATAATAATATATAAATCCTGTATAATAATAAATATATAAATCCTGTATATAATAATAATAATAATATATAAATCCTGTATAATAATAATATATAAATCCTGTATAATAATAATAATATATAAATCCTGTATAATAATATATAATAATAATATATATAAATCCTGTATAATAATAATAATATAGCACCAATAGTTTGCTCAGCACTTTACAATATAAATCCTGTATAATATAATATAATTTCTCATCTTTTATTATCCTTGACTTTTCCTAGGCTAACATTATTATTATACAGGATTTATATAGCGCCAACAGTTTGCTCAGCGCTGTACAATATAAAGGGAGACAATACAGCAACAATACAGCAACAATACAAGAGGGATAGGAGGGCCTGATCCTGGGAGCTTACAATCTAGGAGGGAATGAAATGATCCTGTATCTATATACTGTGATGAGTCAGGGATTCATTTATTTACTTAGACTTGTGAAGTTACTGACCGCTCCTTTATAATAAATAAAATGACAGTTGCGCACGACCTTTTTTTTCTGCATTATGTTTTTGCGCTCCATTCCATCCTGTATTCTATTTCTCATTGAGGCCGCGCTGTGATCTAGTCTGTCTGTGTAATTGTCGGGGTGTGCAGAGGCTGGAGCGCAGTGAGTCATCGGGGGCATACGCTCGGTCCGCCTGTCTGCAGACACGCTCAGTCCAGGCGCACATTCTTGGCTGTAGTCGCTGACTGCGAAGGCCAGGGACTGCGATGCATAGAAATCCCTTCATTGTGCTTCCTGCAGTTCAGCCTTTTCATGCTTGGCGTATTTAACCCCCTGGCGACCGGAGCGGCAGCATGCTGCAGTTTTGCGCCCCGTTGCCTGTTGTGCGCGGCCCCCTCCTCCCTGGACAGATGTTCAGGGGCATCCGAGGCACTGGCAGATCAGCGTATTATTGTAAGGCATGTGCTAGGGGGGTGGATTAGGTGTCATGTGACCTCCTTATCACAGAGCCAGGAATTCAATAGCCTTTACCCCCCCCCCCCCCTCCCTGTGCAGCCAGGGAGCGAGCGTGTCCTCAGCCTGTCCCTGCACAGTCCTGAGCAGGTTGTTGTAGTCCTCAGCGCACATGTATGGGGAGAAACACTGTCCGCAGAGATATATTACAGGTGCTCGTCTTTAATTACAGCAAGCGTCGCCTCTGACCACTTCCCTGCTTCTCGTTTCAGGTGACGTCCCTGTAAGCTGTAAGATGAACCACTGACGGCTCGGTGACCCACATAAAGGATTCAGGACTGCCGGAGACACATGAAAAGAAGCCACGTGCGTCGGGCGGGCTGGACGCCGAAATTAATGATATCCGCTGCGCCCGGTCACCTCCATATCCTGGGAGTGCTCACCGGAGGGGTTGCCCATCCTATGACCACTAGCCCTGAACCGCCCAGCCATAGAAGAAAGAAGCCCTAGCAGGTTCAGGGTGGAGGCCCATGCTGTGGAGAGGAGGGACTCGCTGTCTGGGTCCCCTTTTAAGGACCGCATCAGGATGAGGTGCTCCTTACGGATATGGATTCTGAGCACCACCGCCCTCCTGTTCATCATGTCCCTCCTGTTCACCTTCTCCCACAATGGCACCGAAGCCCCTGTGTACTCGGAGCGGGCAGGATGGGCGTCCGCTGGAGGGCACCCTGTCCGCCTGGTGCCAGGTTACCCTGGGGTGAGGCATCACCCTGCGGCTCCTAGCCTCGCCAAGGACTGCGCCTGCCGCTATTGTCTGAGGCAGCCTGGTCCATCCACCTGGTTTGACAGTCACTACGACAACGCCATCTCACCCATGTGGACGCTGGAGAATCGGGAGTTGCCGCCGGATGTCCATCGCTGGTGGATGGTGAGTGAAATGTGTACAAATATGTTCTGTTCAGTTTCACAGCTTACCCCTGGACTCGGTGTCGACCCCTACTGGAAGGGAAAAGCACCAACGGGGAGGTGACGGCACATGTGCGAAATGTTTTCTTGACTTCTGTCGCATTTTGTGTCTAGAAATCAAACTGGAGGTCAGGAGCTTTCAAAGCAGATATGATGTGTTCGAGGGCCCCCCCCCCATCCCCTACGTGTGGTATAGGGCCCCCAGGTGATGGGCCTCCACCACCTCCAAGATGTAACTGGTCCAAATGGACATCTGAGTGCCTCCTATACAGTCTGATGGCTATCTTAGACTCTTTACTGTTACTCTTTTTATGTCCACAGCAAGTTCTCACTTTACATAAAAAAAAACCCCATTGACTTTCAGATGACCCAATACTAGGCAGTGCTTTTTTTTTTTTTTTTTTTTTTTTTTTTTTTTGCTTTTTTTTTTTCCAATCTTAATTTGATTAGACAAGCCATAGACTAAGCAATTTTTTTTTTCCTGCAATGTAGGTTGCAGGAAAGAAAATCGCTCAAATCCCCCATCAACACAGTCCGTGTTGATGCCCATCTCCTGGCTTGGGGAGCTCTCCCTTCCAGGAGAACACAGTTGCTAGCGGCTTTAGCTGCTGGCAATAATCGCAAGTAAAAATCCGACATGCTGGTTGTACCCAAGTTGATCATTGGATCAGCATGGATATAATCAGCCTGCCCATTAATGGTTTGAATCTCAGCCGGTCCCTGCAGAACGGCCAAGATTTGAACCATCTGTGGCCGACTTTAGAAAGAAAGCAAGTATACAAGGTTGCCAGTACATTATTTTAAGTATACAGCCCTAGCCATTTTAGTACTGTTTTTAGTAGTTACCGTTCTATGTATATAACAAATATAAGATGGCTGACGGTCGCGGTGCGTGGATCCATGGAAATATTTATCCAACAGACCCCTACTCGACACGAAGGGGTATATTTTATAAATACAATTTGCTGAGCTTTTGGTCCTGTGAAGCTGCATTTATATTTGTTTTGTGCAAACTCAATAGTTAATAGACTGTTTTCCCTCGAGGTCGAATGTTATTCAGTCATACATAAAAGCATGCTTCGGGAACATACCCCATTATGACCACTTAACGGACCTCATGATCATAGTATTTTCTCTGATCGTCGGCTTCATCTAGAGACTATAGTGCAGTATTGTTCTGTTTCACTGGATTGTATACGAGTGAAATTTTTACCTGGACAGAAAATAGCTTTGTAAAATTCGATTTTGTCATTCGCACAGAACAAACATACATTCAGGTTCACAGGAAGAACAGCTCTGTGATTTTTGCATAAAATAATTATTTCCTGGGGTAGGATGGGGAAGGGGGAATGGAGGGGTAGGATGGAGAAGGGGGAATGGAGGGGTAGGACGGGGAAGGGGGAATGGAGGGGTAGGACGGGGAAGGGGGAATGGAGGGGTAGGACGGGGAAGGGGGAATGGAGGGGTAGGACGGGGAAGGGGGAATGGAGGGGTAGGAGGGGAAGGGGGAATGGAGGGGTAGGAACGGGGAAGGGGGATGGAGGGGTAGGACGGGGAAGGGGGAATGGAGGGTAGGACGGGGATAGGGGGAATGGAGGGGTAGGATGGGGAAGGGGGATGGAGGGGTAGGATAGGGAAGGGGTAGGATGGGGAAGGGGGAATGGAGGGTGTAGGATAGGGAAGGGGTAGGATGGGGAAGGGGGGAATGGAGGTGTAGGATAGGGAAGGGGTAGGATGGGGAAGGGGGAATGGAGGTGTAGGATAGGGAAGGGGTAGGAGGGGAAGGGGGAATGGAGGGTAGGATAGGGAATAGGATGGGGAAGGGGGAATGGAGGGGTAGGATGGGGAAGGGGGGAAGGGAGGGTAGGATGGGGAAGGGGGAATGGAGGGGTAGGATGGGGAAGGGGGAATGGAGGGGTAGGATAGGGGAGGGGAAATAGGGGTAGGATAGGGAAGGGGGAACGGAGGGGTAGGATAGGGAGGAAGTGTAGGGAACAGCAGCTTTATGCACTGCTGGTGGATTTACTCTAGCAGAGAATCCTCTGTTAGGTCTGTCTGAGCACTTCTTGGACCTTCCATCTCCAGACCTCCTATCTTCTGCGTGGTGAACCTTCTACCTGGTCCTCCATCCACACCTTTTTTTTGTATTCTGGCTAGATTTGCTGCATCTGCATTAAGGTCGTATAAGCAGCAGGGTGCTATGTACTACTACTTTAGAGGGTCACTAGGGCATTTTGCCCCTCTAGGTGGTTTGGATGCAATGCAGGAGGCACATCTTCATACGAGTTCAGTAATAGCACTTCAGTAAGTAAAGGTTTCTTCCAGAATGTAGAGTTCTTTCCCAAATGAGACAGCAGGCCAACAGTATACGAGTGCCCATCAGAGGGGAGGATGTTGTGTCTTCAGGAGAAATGGAGTTTACAGGGAGTACTGTTCCAACGTTCCTTGGAGGGCACAAGACTCTCTTCAACGTGTGAGACATCAAAAAGCAGTCCCTGAAATTGAGGGGTAGACAGACACCAAAGCAGGGTGAACATGCCATCATAACCTTCAAAGTAGTATTTTGAAGTTGCCTTGCCACCTTCAGGACTTTTTGTCCAAACCTAGCATCTGTCAAGGTAGCCATATCCACCTTGTAGAATAGGGTCCACAAACCACTTAAATAATGGGTCAGTTCACTGTTCTTTAGGGGAAGCCAGACTGCTCAGTGAGAGTGGACAATGCCCTAGGTTCGGGAGTTAGTGAAAGTAAATAAGTCCGGGTGGTGGTGGTTAGTTAGATTAAAAAAATGACCCTAGTATTTTGGTGAGTGGAGGCAGAATAGTTCCCCTTCATTGGTGTCACTGGAAGGAATAGTGCCCCATCATTGGTATCGGTGGATGGAATAGTGCCCCTTTGTTGTCAATGGCAGTAATAGTTCCCCATTGTTTGTGTCATTGACTGGAATAGTGCCCTACTGTTGGCATCATTGACTGGAATAGTGCCCCATCATTGGAGTGTCAGTTGTAGGAATAGTGGTCCCCCATCATTGGTTTCAGTGGGAGGAATGATCCCCCATCATTGGTTTCAGTGGGAGGAATGATCCCCCATCATTGGTTTCAGTGGGAGGTTTCAGTGAATGATCCCCCATCATTGGTTTCAGTGGGAGGAATGATCCCCCATCATTGGTTTCAGTGGGAGGAATGATCCCCCATCATTGGTTTCAGTGGGAGGAATGATCCCCCATCATTGGTTTTTGGTGGGAGGAATGATCATTGGTTTTTGGTGGGAGGAATGATCCCCCCATCATTGGTTTTTGGTGGGAGGAATGATCCCCCCCCATCATTGGTTTTGGTGGGAGGAATGATCCCCCATCATTGGTTTTTGGTGGGAGGAATGATCCCCCATCCTGTGAGAGGAATGATCCCCCATCATTGGTTTTTGGTGGGAGGAATGATCCCCCATCATGGTTGGATTGGTTTTTGGTGGGAGGAATGATCCCCCATGCAGTTGGTTGATCATGGTTGGATGCAGTGAGAGGATTGATCCCCCATCCCCCGTTGGATCAGTGAGAGGAATGATCCCCCCAGTGAGAGGAATGATCCCCCATTGGTTTTTGGTGGAGAGGAATGATCCCCCATCAGTTGGTTTTTGGTGGGAGGAATGATCCCCCATCAGTTGGAATGATTTTGGATGTGAGAGGAATGATCCCCCATCGTTGGTTTCAGTAAGATGGATGAGAGGAATGATCCCCCATCGTTGGATTCAGTGCAGTGAGAGGAATGATCCCCCCCCATCGTTGGATCTGTGAGAGGAATGATCCCCCGATCATTGGTTTTTGGTTGGAGAGAGGAATGATCCCCCATCGTTAGAATGATCAGATGTGAGAGGAATGATCCCCCATGGTTGGATGCCCCCATGGTTGGATGCAGTGAGAGGAATGATCCCCCATCCCCCATGGTTGGATGCAGTGAGAGGAATGATCCCCCATGGTTGGTTGGATGCAGTGATGCAGGAATGATCCCCCATGGTTGGGTTGGATGCAGTGAGAGGAATGATCCCCCATGGTTGGGTGAGAGGAATGATGGTTGGATGCAGTGAGGATGAATGCAGTGAGAGGAATGATCCCCCATGGTTGGATGCAGTGAGAGGAATGATCCCCCATGGTTGAATGATGCAGTGAGAGGAATGATCCCCCATGGTTGGATGCAGTGAGAGGAATGATCCCCCATGGTTGGATGCAGTGAGAGGAATGATCCCCCATGGTTGGATGCAGTGAGAGGAATGATCCCCCATGGTTGGATGCAGTGAGAGAGAATGATCCCCCATGGTTGGATGCAGAATGATCCCCCATGGAGGAATGATCCCCCATGGTTGGATGCAGTGAGAGGAATGATCCCCCATGGTTGGATGCAGTGAGAGGAATGATCCCCCATGGTTGGATTGGATGCAGTGAGAGGAATGATCCCCCATGGTTGGATGCAGTGAGAGGAATGATCCCCCATGGTTGGATGCAGTGAGAGGAATGATCCCCCATGGTTGGATGCAGTGAGAGAGGAATGATCCCCCATGGTTGGATGCAGTGAGAGGAATGATCCCCCATGGTTGGATGCAGTGAGAGGAATGATCCCCCATGGTTGGATGCAGTGAGAGGAATGATCCCCCATGGTTGGATGAATGATCCCCCATGGTTGGATGCAGTGAGAGGAATGATCCCCCATGGTTGGATGCGGTGAGAGGAATGATCCCCCATGGTTGGATGCAGTGGAATGATCCCCCATGGTTGGTGAGAGGAATGATCCCCCCCATGATCCCCCATGGTTGGATGCGGTGAGAGGAATGATCCCCCATGGTTGGATGCGGTGAGAGGAATGATCCCCCATGGTTGGATGCAGTGAGAGGAATGCGGTGAGAGGAATGATCCCCCCCATGGTTTGGTTTTGGTGAGAGGAAGGAATGATCCCCCATGGTTGGTTTTGGTGAGAGGAAAGATCCCCCATCGTTGGTTTTGGTGTGAGGAAAGATCCCCCATCGTTGGTTTTGGTGAGAGGAAAGATCCCCCATCGTTGGTTTTGGTGAGAGGAAAGATCCCCCATCGTTGGTTTTGGTTTCGGTGGGAGAGGAATAGTGACCCAATCGGCGGGAAGCGTTTTTGGTTGGTTTCAATGGGAGGAATAGTGGCCCAATGTTGGTTTCAATGGGAGGAATAGTGGCCCAATGTTGGTTTCGGCGGGAGGAATATAGTGGTTTCGGCGGGAGGAATAGTGGCCCAATGTTGGTTTCGGCGGGAGGAATGGCCCAATGTTGGTTTCGGCGGGAGGAATAGTGGCCCAATGTTCGGCGGGGTTTGGCCGGCGGGAGGAATAGTGGCCCCAATGAATTGGCCCAATGTTGGTTTCAGCGGGAGGAATAGTGGCCCAATAGTGTTGGTTTCAGCGGGGGAGGAATAGTAGTGGCCCAATGTTGGTTTCAGCGGGAGGAAATTAGCCCAATGTTGGTTTCAGCGGGAGGAATAGTAGTATCTGTGTATAAACATAATGAACAAAACTGTTTATAAATGGAGATAATGGGAGAGAATATCCCCTGCTCATGGTGAAGTTTTGAAAGTTTATTTAGAAGAGAATTACAAAGTTGAAGATTAGACAGTAGACCGATTAATACACAAATGGAAATTATGTACCAGACCTGACGGCCTCACCAAAAAAGGGAGACTTTCGAGCTCCAGTCCTGTACTGCTGCCATCTACACCCACCCAAAGTACAAACATTTTAAAATTTTAAGACGTTCACTTAAGAATTTCCACTAGCAACGCATAAAACATGAGACATTAATTTCTGTCATTTTTGGAACACATCAGCTTGACCATGACCCATACTCTGAAATGCTTCACTGTAGAATTTGTGGAGACTTGTCTACACATTACACACCAAGACATTCCAGGATGGGGAGCTATTTGTTCTGATAACATATTTCATCCTAGCAAGTGATCCTGATATTACATAATTATATTAAGAATATTAGTACATTAGCACTTGATATTGTTCTTTTAAACCATGTAGGTAAGTATATTCCTTTTTTTTCTGTACCAATGAGAGTCTGCCAGTTTTCACCCAATGCAGGATTCAGAATGGTCCTCTGATTTCCCGGTTATTTCCAAAAAACCCAGGTGCTGTGGAGAGTGTAGTACTACAAAACCTCGCCAGGAGGTGTACCTTTTTAATGCTGTGCTAGTCTCCTATAAAATGGCCGCTTACCATACTTACCACGGACTTGAAAAAGCGCATACGCGCGAAACATGTTGTCCTGGTAATCGACCTTCACTCCTAGCTTGTGGCCACAGCGTTGGTTTCTCCCCTCCGTTTCCTGGACATCGCGGCGACGTCACCCGTGACACCGTGACCACGTGGTCCCTCGCCACCACAGATCCCATCTGAGCGGACAGGCCGTCCATCCGGACCCAGGCTTTACCTTTAAAGCCAAGGGATTGTGTTTTTTATGCTTTTTATTCTTTTTACTTCTCACTCATTATCCTTCACAATAAAGGTACACCTCCTGGCGAGGTTTTTCTAGTATTACACTCTCCACAGCGCCTGGCTTTTTTTGGAACTTCCAGGATTCATTCATATGACTTGCTATGGCTGCAGTGGCTATTTATCAATGAATACATTGTTTGATTTGCTCCCATGGTGTGTGCCCCTTTACGCTTAGGACCACAGTGCTCATGGATTTCCCGTTTATCATGTCTCTAGTGTAGAATAGGAGAATCGGATTGGTCATCTAGTTCTCTTCCTTCGGGTACCGTATTTTTCGCTCCATAAGACGCACCTGACCATAAGATGCATCTAGGTTTTAGAGGCAGAAAACAGGGGAAAAAAAAAATTCTGAACTAATGGACTGCAGACACAGTACAGGAGATGACCAGAGACTGCGGACACAGTACAGGAGATGACCAGAGACTGCGGACACAGTACAGGAGATGACCAGAGACTGCGGACACGGTACAGGAGATGACCAGAGACTGCGGACACGGTACAGGAGATGACCAGAGACTGCGGACACGGTACAGGAGATGACCAGAGACTGCGGACACGGTACAGGAGATGACCAGAGACTGCGGACACGGTACAGGAGATGACCAGAGACTGCGGACACAGTACAGGAGATGACCAGAGACTGCGGACACAGTACAGGAGATGACCAGAGACTGCGGACACAGTACAGGAGATGACCAGAGACTGCGGGCACAGTACAGGAGATGACCAGAGACTGCGGGCACAGTACAGGAGATGAGAGACTGCGGGCACAGTACAGGAGATGACCAGAGACTGCGGACACAGTACAGGAGATGACCAGAGACTGCGGGCACAGTACAGGAGATGACCAGAGACTGCGGACACAGTACAGGAGATGACCAGAGACTGCGGACACAGTACAGGGGATGACCAGAGACTGCGGACACAGTACAGGGGATGACCAGAGACTGCGGACACAGTACAGGGGATGACAGGTACCCGCTCTTACTTCCGCGGAGATGTTCTTTGATCTTACCTGTTCCTCTATCCAGCCGCGCGCTGTCTTCCCGGCTTCTGTAGTGTGGGCGCTCGGCGGACAGCCGGATGCCCAGTGCGCATGAGCGAGAAGCGCTGTGCTTTGTGATTGGTCTGGCGGCTTCTGGGATCTGTCATGTGTCCCAGGTACCGCCTTACCATTCACAAAGAGCACCGCTTCTTGCGCATGCACACTTGGGACCCGGCTGTCACGCACACTACAGAAGCCGGGAAGACAGCGCGCCGCCGCTGGATAGAGGGACAGGTAAGGTCCTGCTGTAGAGCTGAGCGGCCGGCCCGGTATTCTGACACGGCAGCGGTGGAAATACCGGACCGGCCGCTCCATATTCGCTCCATAAGACGCACTGACATTTTCCCCCCCTTTTTTGGGGGGAAAAAAGTGCGTCTTATGGAGCGAAAAATACGGTAATTTTGGGCCAATGACCTTTTGACTTTTCTCCCTTTTTATAGAAGCTCCAGCCACAGTTCAAGTCTCATAACACGCCGGAGATCTTGTCGCAACTCTTCCAGATCATCCCTGGGCAGAACCCATACAAGCAGCTCGATCCGCTGATGTGCTGCCGCTGCGCTGTGGTCGGTAATTCGGGCAACCTGCGAGGTTCCGGCTATGGAAAGGACATTGACGGCCACAACTTCATCATGAGGTAGGAGGTGTTTCTTGTGTCCTGGAGGGAGGAAGTCCTCTGGAGATGGCGTTGTCCTTCTCCAGCAGGAAACAAGTGGCATGCTGGACAATCATTTTTCCTCCCGGAATATAGGCTATATTGTGTCCATAGTATCATCATAGTTCGTCTGGCTGAAAAAAGACAAAAGTCCATCCAGTTCAACCATAAAAAAAAAAAAAAAAAAAAAAAGTTATAATCCACAGTTGATCCAGAGGAAGGAAAAAAAAACAAAGTATGATCCAATTTGCTCCTGCAGGGGAAAAAATTCCTTTCTGATCCCCCGAGAGGCAATCGGATATTCCCTGGATCAACTTTACCTATGTGTATGTGTGACAAAGTATCTTTACCATATTCCACGTGTAATAATAAATGGCCCTCAGTAGCTGCTTAGCCCCATTCCCTCAGTTCCATGTGTGTGTTTTCCTGCAGCACACACTCACTTCAGGGCTGCTGTAAAATAATGAGATCGTCCTTCTAGTTACATGAATGCACCCATCACTCTGGTAGAGCAGAAGAAATTGATAAATCCTCAGCTCCCTACATAGACCTCAAATAGCCACACTGGCTGTGCCAGAAAGGGAGACATTGCTGCTTTCACCTCCCTAGCGGTCTGATTATGTCCATATTTCTGTGCTTAAAGCGGTACATTTGTTTGCATGGAAATATGTATTTTTTTTATTGCAGGCCTGTAATTTTTAGGAATAACTCACTGAAATCTGTCCGAACAAGAGTCTATTAAACATCCCGGGTAGGATAAAACTTGAAACACGAAATCATAAATTATAATTTAATAATCATAAAAAAATAATATAATAAATTTAATTCAATAATATAATCAAACCAAAAACACTGAAATTTGAAATATAGCGTCAAGTTCGCACATCACTGAGCAAAGTCGCAAAATCATTTTCAGTGTCTGATGACGAATTTCCCCCACGAATCATTATCACTCAATTCTGCAATTGGTTCTGATTTACTATCGCTGTTCTCTAGCCGGTCTATAATCGCTTTTGACCTAAAGGGACGCTTTTTGGACGCCATGGACGTTTCTCAGTTTCCAGGCAGAAAGAACAGTAAAAATGCAGGCAGGGCGCCGGACAAAGCACTCGGGACAAAATGTATGTGAAATGGTTTGATACAGGAATGTTATACTGTGTGATTTTAGTGTATTTAGTGAATGTCACTTTTTGACATTTTCAAATTTCCCGCCGTTCCGTCCCACGTACGTCCCAACGTCGCAGGGAACGGAACCCAGAACACAGATGCCGGCATCTGCCAGAGGACATTACAGGGGACACTGCAGGAGAGACATCGCGGGAGCGCAGGACAAGGTAAGTGTGAAACAACAGATCCCGGATCAGCGCTGCATGGTATTCCCGAGTGTAGCTCTGGGTTACTGCTTGTGGTACTGAAACTTTACCCCGAGCTACACTCGAGAATACCGCCAGGGAGGTTAATGGGGCCCAGTCCATCTCCAAATGGGACTGAAGTGGTTGTCGTCCCAATTTGGACATTGTCACTGAGGGGTGTACTCGCTTTTGTTGCCAGCGGTTTAGACATTAATGGCTGTGTGTTGAGTTATTTTGAGGGGACAGCAAATGTACATGTTATACAAGCTGTACACTGACTACGTCACATTGTAGCAAAGTGTCATTTCTTCAGTGTTGTCACATGGATTTGTTGGGCTGGAGAGAAAACCTGCCATACCGGTAAGGGTGTGTTAAAAGTGAAAATACAATGGGAATGGGGGGTGGTGTGGAGGGGAGGGCTGAAGTGTTTTTTTTTTTTTTTTTTTTTTTTTAAGACGGGGAAAATTATTAAGTGTTCTTGCATGGCAAGACCACTTACTGTTATCTCACATATATATTCTTATTATTATAGCCAAATTTACCACCCTAACTCCTCCCACAGTTTTTACACTACATAGGACAGTAATATACGGAAACGTACAGATTGTTCCTGATTGGTGTTCTATTACTTTGTGGAACTTTTCGCTGAATGGTTCACAAAATATCGGCATTTTTGTGGTGAAATTGGTCCCATAGGAATGAATGGTGGAATGTTCAAAACTAGAGTGGGAGCTGACAAAAGCTAGAGTGGGAGCTGAAAAATCAGGACATGATTTCTAAACTGCCATCACTCCCTCATTTTCAAGCCCACCTACACAAATCTTATATCAAAACGTTCAGCTATCCCTGTTGCCACTAAAAATGTCCACGGCTAAGCCATAGTCCTGATAGTTTTCACAATATGACCATTTGTTTGCAACTCACGCCGTCCATTAACATTCATTGAAACTCCACTCTAGCCACCTCAAATTTGAAGGGCAATTTCTAAACTGCGACTGTGCCTTCATTTTTAATATTTCAGAGACATACTATGCATGAAAATATAGGTCTGGGTCTTGTGATACCCACAATATAAAGCTCTTCGCTGTAGGATTTATAATTTGTAAATTACAACCGTTTGAAAATGGCAACCGCCAGTGAAGTGAGCAAGTTGGCAACCCAGGTGTGTGAGCAGGCAAGAGCATTTCACACAATTTCCCCAAAATTGTAGCTTTTCTAGTTATATTATTATTATTATACAGGATTTATATGGCGCCAACAGTTTGCTCAGCGCTTTACAATATAACGGGAGACAATACAGTTCAATACAAGAGGAATAGGAGGGCCTGATCCTTGGAGCTTACAATCTAGGAGAAGAACTAGAAGGTAGACAATTGACTTCCCAGTCATGGGATCACTGGGATTGGCAGTCACAGTGATCAAGTGATCGGGAACCCATCCTATCAATTCCTGATTAACTGTAAAATGTATGTGTTCGGGGTGTGCAGTTGAGATCCCAACATGTGGCAATACGGAATAATGTCCACCCCCGTGCTGAAACCTATAGGTGTACGTCTATCTGGAAAGGGTCAACTTTCATTGCTAAGTCTTGTCTGGAGATGTAGACATCTTGGAGTTCTGGTCATGGAGAGGTTAAAGGGGGAAAAAAATTTGTCCCTGTAATGGATGGACGGCAAAAATTGCCCCTCCCCCATTATTATATATATATATATATATATATATATATATATATATATATATATTATTTTTTTTTTTTTTTTTTTTTTCACCTGTGTACAGAACATGACGTGTTGGGGGTTCTGGGGGGGTCACTGTTTGGAGATCAGCCAGCATTGTCTTGGAGGAGGTCTTGTGTGTGTGAGCCCAGAGATGGCACGTGGAGTGTCTGCCAGACAGCCGCGGTCCTCATACAACATAATAAGATTTCATGAGTCAGTGAGCCGTCACCCCAAGCAGTCTCATTTCATCTCTTCCCCCATTCTCCGTCTCCTGGTTATGATCAGAGACTGCGCTCGCAGTGATTTGTACCGCTGGCTGATCCGGAATAATGTCGCGGATTCCCTGTGACATAGATGTGTTTGTAAAATCAGCTGCAGTCCCATCACCCCAAAGATGGCCGGTGAGTCGTGGTCCTCTGAAACATTACACAGGTCAGGACTGATACATGGGGAAGGGCAATGGATGAGACATGTGATGGTCCCGGGGTCATCAGAACATCTTCTGAGGGGGGATCAGCCTTCATACAAAGGTAGACTGTCGACCAGAAGTGCATGCTGGGAGTTGTAGTTCTATAAAGAGTACATCAGGTGCATTCTCCATTCCAGAATCAACGTAATAAATCTCATTGTTAAAGTGGAGCTCTGTGCTGTACTCGGTGGTATTGTCCTGTTCATTCTGTGACCATATCCTTTATTCTGCCACTTCCTGTAATAGGGTGACTACGCTGGTTGTTCTGAAGTGAAATCACTCACTTTTTTTTTTTTTTTTTTTTTTTTTGGGGCCATACTTCTCTTCTTGATCACAGGAGTGCACTTGTCCTCTCCTGTGATCCAGAATCTGCTGATAGTGGGCTGACGTTGCAGAGGAAGGATCCCGACCACAATGTCAGGATCCACTAGGATGTCTGATCAGCAGCTGGCTCAGCCAGCTTTTCGGAATTGGAGTCGGCGAGAGATAGCTGGATCACAGAGGTGTGGGTGTGTGTGGTGCTTGTTTGTTTGTTTTTTTTTTTGTTTTTTTCTTTTTACCCCCCCCTTCCCCAAGCTTCTCCTTGTAAAGCTTAGTTTTAAGCTGCTTACATTTTGCTTTCCCTGCCCCTCCCCTCTTATCAACATAATTAAATTCAACCTTTCTGTTTTCATTACATACTTTACTTTATTATTATTTTTATACAGGATTTATATATTATTATTATTATTATTTTATACAGGATTTATATATTATTATTATTATTATTATACAGGATTTATATATTATTATTATTATACAGGATTTATATATTATTATTATTATTATACAGGATTTTTTTATTATTATTATACAGGATTTATATATATTATTATTATTATTATTATTATTATACAGGATTTATTTATTATTATACAGGATTTATTTATTATTATATACAGGATTTATATATTATTATTATTATACAGAATTTATATATTATTATTATTATACAGAATTATATATTATTATTATTATACAGAATTTTATATATATTTATTATTATACAGGATTTATATTATTATTATTATACAGAATTTATATATTATTATTATATACAGGATTTATATATTATTTATTATACAGGATTTTATATATTATTATACAGGATTTATATAGCACCAACAGTTTGCTCAGCGCTTTACAATATAACGGGAGACAATACAGCAACAATACAGTTCAAAACAAGAGGGATAGGAGGGCCCTGATCCTTGGAGCTTACAATCTAGGAGACTTTAGACCCAATGATTTCATCACTGGGGTCTCTGCTCTCTATGAAATGCAGGCACATCATGGCTGCTGGGAGGGGCTGGCAAGGTCCTTCACATAGCTTCCTGAAAACCTCACGACGCCCTGCCTCAGTACTCCTTTCTGATGCCAGCAGTGGGCCAGCTCTTGGGAGGA